GAGGGAGAAGAAGAAAATCACAGGCACCTGAGTTCTCCTGCTACAGCTTCCCAGAGTACTGGGATTGCAGGCTTGTACTCCACCAGCCAAAACAATGAGTTTTATGATATCTGAATGATACTTTTCTTTTGGTACCAGGAATTGAAACTCTCACTGGCCAGGTAGGCACTGCACTGCTAAACTATATCCCCAACACTGAATGATACCTTTTGAGCTGGGTGTGATTTTGGTTTTTGAGACAGGATCTCAAAGAAAAATGGTTAGCCAGGCTAGCCAAAAAGTCTTGGGCTCAAGTGATCCTCCTGCCTCAGCCTCCCCAGTAGCTGGGACTACGGGTATGACACTGTACCCAGCTTAGATATTTCTTTTTGCTTTGTTTTGTTTTGGTTTGGTTTCTTTGGTAACAGGAACCAAGCTCAGGACCTTGAGCTTGCCAGGCAGCCACTGAACCACTCAGCTGCATCTTTGGCCCTAGATATTTCTTTTTAAAATATAAAAGAGGTTCAGCTACACCTTTCCTTTGCTCCCTCTTCCTTCTGGTTCTGAGATCTGTGTGTCATTTTTATGTGAGCTTATACAAATGTACTATACGCATGCGTATATACATATAAAGATTTTTAAAATTTACATAAGTAGCGTGCTACCCTGCATCAGTTTTACAGTGTGCTTTTTTATATTTGTAAGTTTGTAGATTTACCCACGTTGCCATGGAATTTAGCTCATTCACTTGAATCACTGTCATGTACTCTTGTGGGAATACACTCCTCTTATTTCTCTTTTTTTGCTATTACAACAAATAGTAGTAGTGGTGGTAGTAAGTAGCATTGGGAGTAGTCTTTTCTTTTTTTTTTCTTGGTAATGGGGATCAAACTTGGGTACTTGAGCTTGCGAGGCAGGTGGCAGAATCACTGAGCTGAATTCCCAGCCCAGCAGTAGTATTTTCTTCTTGAAGGGTCTCGTCCAAGTCCTTCTTCCTGTGGGTAGAGGAAGCAGGTTCTATGCCTGTAGCAGGTGAGAAGGCCTCCAGAGGTGGAAAGGCCAAGCGCGTGGCCAGTACAGGACTGAGACCCCACTTGGTGATCCAGCCAGCATGCTGCAGGTACCTGCTGTACCCCTGTACTTCTTGTTTGTCAATTGCTTCTCTGAGGTGACCTTTTATGGCGTGGAACCAAAGTCGTGTTTCATTAAATAATAAAGAAACCAAGCCTTACACAGTCAATGGTTGCAGAAATGGTGAGGTGCTGCAGAGGTGGCGAATCCCGCCTGGGCACTGTGGTGTGAACCGGCGCCCTCTCACCCTCCCTCGGCCTAACATCTGGGCTCTGGAGGCCCCAGGACGTGGTCACAGCTGTGAGTTCCACCCGCTGCTCCCGCCTGCCTGACAGATGCGCGGTGACCTCTGCAGTCAGCGTTGTTCTGCTCCCCCTGAGCAGCTGAGAACACTGTGGAGCCCCTGGTCCCAGGCCACACGGCCAGGAGGGGACCTAGAGGCCAAGCCCATGCAGTCTGATATCAGGCCCAGCTGTCTTCTCCTGTGGCAGACAGGCCCGGGTGGGGACAGCCGAGTCCCTCTGCACCTGTGCAAGACGACTGGGGTGAGCAGGCTGCAGGTGGGGGAACCTGGGGCCTAAGGCTCAGACAGGCCCGGGTGGGGACAGCCGAGTCCCTCTGCACCTGTGCAAGACCCTGGGGCCTAGAGGTTGGAAGAAGCCAGGGCACCCGCCTTGCAGAGGAGGAGGCAGCTGTGGGGTGGGGATCCTGAGCTGGGTGGGCTGAGGTGGAAAGCAGTAGCTCTGCAAGGCTGGCGAGTCAGGCCCGGACACAGCCCCTCCTCTCCCTCCTCTCAGACTGTGGGAGCCCCGCCATCCCGCCTGTGCTGAGTGGCCTGGCCAGGATCATCCATGGTGAGGACGCTGTCCCTGGCTCCTGGCCCTGGCAGGTGTCCCTGCAGGTGAGCTGGGGACCCAGGACATGCGTGGGATGCTGGGCTGTTGGCCAGGCTGGGGCGTTGTTGCCCAGGTGGCAGCTGTGACCTCCCCTCCTTCCTTCCCAGGATGAAAACGGCTTCCACTTCTGCGGGGGCTCCCTCATCTGCTCGTACTGGGTGGTCACCGCCCCCCACTGCCAGGTCAGGTGAGCAGGTGTCCCGGGCTCTGCTCCCAGCTCCAGGGGGTGTGCGGTAGGAGGGCAGTAGGCTCCTCTGTCCCTAGCTCCTCCTGTCTCTGTTTCTAAAAATGAGATGGTGGTGGCTGGGCGTTTGACCAGGGATCCAATGAGGAAGGCATCCAAGTCCTGAAGATGGTGAAGGTACCCAGCCGGAGGACAGGAGCTTGGGAACAGGCGCTTGATGCCCTGGACATATGGGGATGGGGCCGGTCCTGGGGCCTCACCAGGGTGTGATTGTCACCCTGAGTTTTTCAAGAACCCCAAGTTCCGCATGCTCTCGGTGAGCAAGGACATCATCCTGCTGAAGCTGGCCACACCTGCCCAGTTCTCCAAGACGGTGTCCCCGTGTGCCTGCCCTGTGCCTGTGATGACTTCCCTCCTGGGACTCCGTGTGTCACCACCACCTGGGGCTTTTCCAGTTTTGACCGTGAGTGTGACCTGGCCTTTCCACAGCAGGAACTGTCCCTGGGCTCGGGGCTACCTGGGCAGCAGGGATCCCCAGGTGTAACACAATTTTAAAAAAAATTAAAAATCTATAGAGCATACAATTATTGTGTGCCAATTAAGAACAAAGAAAAAAATTTTAAATCTACCAATCTACCACACAAACAAACCGAGAGCGGATACAGGCGCACTTGGCAGAAAGCTCCTGAGCTGCCTGCGCCTCTGTGTGGCGTCTCCAGGAGTGACGTCCCTCCTGGATTAGGGAGCAGCAGAGGACAGATGTGACCCTGCCTCTTGTGTCCTTGCAACCG